AATAATATACATATATACATATATCCACACATCACACAGAGGTCAAATACGGTCCTTGAAGGAACAAACACTGCAATCTTGGAAAATAGGAAAATGTTTTTTTTAATACGTAATACTCACCCGTTCTCAGCAAGAAGAATACCCATGTATTTTATATGCGTGCTTTCCTGTTTGTACTGTACCACCAAGACACCCGGAGATGAGCGTATAACTTCGGCTTCAATTACCTGTGGTATGTTTGAGGTTTCTGCTGAAGAGTCCTCTGCTGAAATTATAATAACAATAGTAGAGAAATTATCGGGGGGCCAACAGAAATGGATTGCATGAAATGTTTAATGACTGCAATCACATGCCTCTTCTGCAGCACATCATATACAAATTTTATATGTAGTAAAGCTATTATAAAATAGTTTTGAAATATAATGCGAGAATAAGCAAAACATAGTGCAATGATAACCAAAAAAATCATAATCCAGATCAAAATTCAAAAAGCCACATGATAGAAGATAATACAAAATATATGAAGTGACCTCCAGTTTCCAATTCGGTTTTTAGTTAAGAGCCAAATACGGAAGACATAGAGAGGAAATATACAAGCGTACACACATATCATATAGGCAATCATACAGATTCAGATATAAATTGAATTATTCCGAAAAATTTTAATTTGTCACTGAAATATCATAACTCAAAATATGAAAATTTTTGGTGAAGTAAAAAAAGTGACCCTATACATATATGTGTACAGAAGAATGAACTCGAAATGAAAATGAGAAAACAAAACTTACAAGAAAAAAAAAACTTACAAGCTTTCGGAGGTACGCTCGCTCCACGCTGTGTCGTCGCTTGCATACGAAGACTGGCGGTGTGATTCATTTCGTAATTTTTACGATGCTGGACAATCTGATGACGCTGTTTTTCGGTAGGCAGCGGAAATCGACCCATACTACTACAACACAGTACATATTAAATCTTTTTTCTTAACAAAAGACTAATATTTACGCAAAATTCGCAACATAGGAAGCAATATAAATTACTAAACGCTTTACTGAACCAGGAAGACCACTAAGAACCGACAGCTGATCATTCTGTAACAATGTATTATACCGCCGGTAATGCAACATTAAATACAACAAAGTCCAACTAGCAAGCTAAAGTTTTTCTGCCGAAATGAAGAGAGAACTTATATTTTTTCAGCTAAGATCTAAATCAATAGTAAGCCTAAAACAAAGCTTAAAGTAGAGTTAATGTCCAAGCGTAACTCTAATCTAACCCGAATTCCGAGCTATCTTCAACTCTCCATACAGATTACATCTTCATTATCATTATGAACAGATTACAAGCACTTACATACTTAACGATCAGCCAAATCAAGGGTCCAGTATGGTATCTCAAACCATAGCATAGCATTTATAGGGAATGAGACCACATAAAATTAAAAGTGCTAACCGAAAAAAAGTTAAAGAACACTTCCTACTTCTCGAAAATAAGTTGAGACACAGCCACACAGAAGTTATTACAAAACAATGCGAAACTGTCGTAGTTGTATGGAAAACATCTTATGCAAATTTCGCATTGATAACATGTGTTATGCATTAAAATTCGCATAAAATCGTACTGCACAGTAAATTTTTCGTACTTCGCTATACTCTTGGAATAAAAATGTACATTAGATAAACATCTATTCTAAAACTAATCGAATAGCTGCGCATTTGTCAAATAACGCATACGAAAACTATGACCAGTACATTTTTTCACGTTCAGTCAAATTTCAAACTTAATAGCAATAATAAGCAGTTATGTTCAAATTAAACTCTCAATAGCACTATGACTACGTCTGAAAATTTTCACCTATCTTAAGTGCAAAAATTAAAATTGAAAGAATATCCGGATGCGCTCCAGCTGTTACAACTGAAACTAGTACTACCATGAAGTCGTCAGGTGACATGGAATAGCCATGATACGCTCTATAAACATGTCTTGTACATTGAGCGCGAGCAAAACATAAAGCCATCAATGCAGTTTGTAACATGCTGGTGGATCATCCAGATTTCTGAACAAATAATAAGTTCGCACTAGGCTTTTTGCTTTCTCTTTCTTACTTTCCGTGATGATATAGCAGCGTTCTGATTCTACACAGCTTCCTGCTCGTCCCTTTATTGCTGAGGCTCTAATGTGTCAATCGTAGTTCTTACTTCCGATTAGCGTCATACATCTTACCCAATTACCGTCCTGTAGTATAAATCCATTTCCACTGCTGCATAAATCAAATTTCTTCCAAAAACAGCATGAAAGCAAGATTTTGCTTTCAAAGCAATGACGGCAGTGACAAATTCAAAATAGGCAGATAATATAAGAAAAGTAAAATTTGTAGTGGCAGTCATAGCTCCAATTCGCGGTGCAAAGACAGAAAGCTAAAACAGAA